AGCCTTACAAGTCCCAGTTCCATTCCAGTTCTATTGGGTCCACCATCTTGCACCGAGCCCTCAAATGCATCAATGAGCTAGGGGCTAGGAGTCACACGTGGGGGTGGTGTTGATTCCCTAAGTCAGTGGATGTTCTGGGCACCCCGAGACCCTCCATAGAACTGCCGGAGTACAACTCTTTCCTTGCAAAGGTGAAGATTTGATCTGTCTTGTACGAGGGTTTTCCACATCTTTCATGCACAAAGTGGATTCATCTCAAGGGAACAGGAGGTTGCCATCATTCCTAGCTACTGCAGCCTCTTGTCCATCAACATGGCACTCGCTACTCACCACCAAAGCAAACATCGTCCAAACACCTGCAGGCTTGTTTCTTTAGAGGTACACTCATCCCTATTCCCTATGGATCCACATACCCTTTAAGGGGGTGATGTCTTTGATACGTTTATGATCTTTTATGTAGGCATGAGGAGGGTCCAGTCGTATGGAACCTGAGAAGGTGACAGTTGATCCCTACGGTATCATGCCAGTCAGTCCTTTACTACGCACCAACAGCCACAGAGATTCAAGTGGGTGTATTGGAATAGGTCGAGTCTGTCTTATTACCTGTATCCGTCGGGAAACACTTATCACTATTTTAGAGAAACCCACCTGAAACTAACCACCATCATCCACTGTTACTGGTAATAGGATCCAATAGGATAGCCCGGCCCCGTCGGAAAATTGGGAGACGCCCCCTATTAGGTGTTCAAGGGACATCTCTGCCATCTCTCCCAAAGGCTCCGAATATGCGCAAGGGACCGGGACCCGCTCGTCAGCCGCCGACGAAATCCTTTCAGTGATGGGAACGGGCTGTCCGGCGCGCGACGCGGAGCCGAAACGAGCAGCGGAGGCGGGGACGGAGAACGAGCCGGGAAAGTCGGATCACTTGAAGTAGGCAGAGCATCCGAACACCAGGGATTGTCACCCAAACACCAAAACAGCGAGAGGGTGGGTTTCGTTCGAAAGGGTGGGTTTCGTTCGGTTTTTCGTTGTGTTGGACACTTCATCTCAATCTAGATGCCTGATAACATGAGTGTTGTTTTGTTTCGTGAAATGATCCGCACTGGCTTGGCTGCAGCCTCAGGAACATGCTGTAAACTGGCTGCAAAACTAAACGACAGGATCCTGAGCGGTAAGCAAGAGAGGTCGCACAGCTTTACCCTTGCGGTCGGGAGTGGCTACAAACCCTGGACCCAGTTGAACTTGGCCCGGTGTGTTGCCAGTCTGAGCTTTGAGATATTCTGAGACAAATGCAACAGTAAGCAGTTCTTTTGTAATTAAGTGAAACAAATCACTTGGATTCTGCGACGAGTGAAGAACATCCTAGTAAGTTCATGTCTGATTGCTCCTTCAACAAAGCGATCGGCTTCGTTTCCGACCCGCAGAAGAGTCGCAACTCTGTTCATCTCTTGCTGGTCTGGGTGGCAGTTTGATTGTCAAGAAGATCATCATCTATCAGCAAGGAAGGCTTGGCCGAATCTCAGTGTGCCTTTCTGAAAGTTTGTTGCTGTTAGAGTTGGGATCCATTGCCACCTTCTCAGCAGGTACGCTGGACCCTCACTTCACCTACATACATCAAAGTGTCGAACACACCAGCCTCGATGAGAGGGTGCCAGTGCACACTAAAGTAAAGTACTGTGACTACAACGGGAATCCTCCATTATATAGTGGTTTTTGGAAACATCCCACCTTTTCTCGGGATTCTGGTCACATGCAGGGGACTCAGGACCTAAGATCAGATTGGCAGCTGCTTGTTTGGGCAGAAAAGCAGTCTTTGCTGCCAATTTGTCTATTCGGTGCGACCCGGAAACAGTGACCATCATGGTTAGGAGGGAGTGATTTGGAGCCGGGGTATCCAAATTCCCCTTGAAACAGGGAGCCATTCGGAGCCATTCGGAGCGGGTCCGTTCACCACGCTGCTAGATGATGTTGGATGTCCTTTCCGAGTGCATTTGTGCAGCTCAAATCTGAGAGTTCGATGATTTTGCAGCTTCGAGTTGCCACCCAGAGATCTGTACGTCCGGGGTTTCACGATTCTGCCGAATCCAAAAAGGCCATAACGCGTGGTTCTGTTTGGCGCAGACTTGGGGAGTGAAAGGAGGTGTTTTGTGGTGTTTTCATTGGTGTATACGGATCAACAAAAATAAGTGAAGTGGATCCGGGAAGAGATCGGAACCAGAACATGGACCCTTTTGAAGACTATAGCTTCCTCCCCAGTGGTTTTCAGGTTCCATGCTAATCTAGGTTCAAAAAAGAGGTGAATCGGTCGCAAAGCGGACATCCACAGAAATGACTGAACCTTTGCCGAGATTTGCCCATGGACAGATCCTGCGTTTTTGAGAAATTATCGATGCGGAAGTTCCGATCTGAATTCAGATGGTCAGATATGTTGAGATGTTGATTTCAAGGCTTATGCCTAAGAGCGGGCCAGGCAAGCAAGCAGGACAGGTGCAGGCGTCAGGTGGAGGGCTTGTAGCTCTTGTAGCGTGCAGGTGGCGTAAGCAGGACAGGTGCAGGCGTCAGGTGGAGGTGAGGCCTTGTACCTCTTTATTTTCTTTTTCTCTGGAAGAGGCAGAGAAGAAGAGCAAGCGGAAGCACACAATGCCAATAATGCAAGTCCACTCGGGCAGCATATCTCGCACCACTCTGAAAACGACCTCACGACCATCACCATATCCTATTTTGGACTGTCTCCGTCCATGCTCTCCCCGACGTTCCAGCATCATAGCACCGGGTGTTAGCCCAGTTCCACCACCACATTGGGTAGTCAACAATCTCCCAGGTTGGTCTACCTGTCGGTCCTGCCGGTCCCCACCGGTCGGGGTGGCGTGTCGATGCGCCTGCGCCACTGAGGCATCAGCTTCACTGACTTGCAGGGGCTCAGGCACAGCATCGCGCTGCAGGCCGGCTCGGCTGGTGAAAGTCCGTTGAAGCTCAGGTTCACGTGTTCTGTGAGTGCAAAGGGTGAGAGCCAGGATCACTCAGAATGGGCCTGATTTTGTGGACCCGATTTTTTACAGAACGTTTGGCAGATCCAGTCTCAGTGAACGAGTATCAAAAAAAATTGATGATTTAAGTGTGGACGCCCGATCACACCAGCATTATCCTTATAACTGTTTATCAGTGATCCTGTCATGGTTATCTTCACAACTTCACCCTGATTGACCCTCTTCACCCTCTTCTTCATCTTCTTCAGCCCTAAACTCCCAGCACCGAACCTCACTTTTGGTCCAATCACGGAGGCGTCCTGCCTCCCAGAAGGTCCCTGTGCCTTTCATCCATTTCCCCACGGTGACCGGCACCGGCGCGGTGACCGGTCCAGGGTTCGGTGGATCGCTTCGAACACCTCTTTCTTCGTGAGGCCGAAGGATGGGATCGGGGAAGGGCCTTGGGGATTTCATGGATATAACCTTCGGTTACCAACCGAAGGCCCTCCGGCGAGGACACGTGCGTCCTGGCCGGCGCCCGGATTTGACGGATCCACCCACACCGCCGACCTGGTTCGGTCTGACTGGGCGATTTGAGTCTTTTGAGGCCTCACTGTAGCGAGCTGGTTCGGTTTCCAGATCCGTGGAAAGGATGAAGACCATTTCACGGGTCGGTGAGTACTGTCATTGGTGGGATTGGGTGGAAGGTGGTGTTGGAAGTTGAGGCATCTATGGAAAGGATCATTTGTTTCTCACCATCCGACAGTAATCGCTGGTTCTACGAAGGAGTTTGGACAACGACAAAACCAGTTCAACCATCTTCTCAATGGTCTGTACTGGAATGCCCATACACCACCCACTACCAGTCTGGGACTGGAAGAAATAAAAGCCGCCTACAGCCTGCAGTGACGTCTGAATCAACCAGCCCTGGTCTGATTGGTCGTCAATATGGCTGTGGGTTATGCCACCAACAAGTTTTTAACACACTGTGTTCCAGCTAAGATCAACCAGCCAGGAGGTCAACCTGCAATGCTTTTCAGGGTGAGTCCCAGACTCGTGGTGCGACCCATGGCACCGGGCCACGACCCACACCGGTCGTGGTCCCCGTGGAGCGCGCAAGAAGTGACGCTTAAGAGTAAGCGGGTGTCGAGTGCACTGAGCTTGAGATAGCAGTGCTGCTGCTAGGCTTTTGGGGGTAGAACCCCCATTTGGAGTGTAAGATCTCTTACCTTATCTGGGCCCTGGGCTTCATCACATTCTTGGACTCTCCTGGCCGGAGCGCGGCATAGAAGTCTATTGCGACGGTCAGCTGGGTATACACCCATTACACCCATGGGAGTCGTTGCCGCGGAAGTGGGTCACCCCATGGTCTTGAGTCTCAAACGCTTGGGTTCCGACTTTCGAGGTCTGAAGTCGATCCCAAAAGCGTCCTTCATCTTCAAATCTGCCTCATCCAGATCACTGAAGTGACTCTAGTTACATTCATTCAGGATTTATGACCCATGCCCATGTAGCAAATTCTTCCAATTCCATTCGATTGCTCCGGGTTCTTCTCCAGTTCAACCTCATCCACCATCCGCCTTCATGTCTTCATTCCTGCAGGCGAAGGTCTGGCGGCTCGAGTCCGATCGACTGGCCGAAGAGCGAGCCGGAAAACGCGCTGGGGTGCGGGTGCGGCGGTGCGAACGGGGGACGCGGGGGACGGCTTTGATAGCCAAACTCATCCAGCCAAACGAAGGCAGCGCTGGAAGGCAGCGCAGCACTGGCTCAGAGACGGCTGGCAAACCCACCCCGGCCCGCGAGGATTGGTGAGTTGATGGGCGCCGGTTGGGTTGAACCCCACGTGATGTGGAGTCAGCTTCTTAACCAAAAAGACGTCTCTGACCGAGTCAAGACAGGTGCCGAACGAATGGAGGAACTCGGGTGCCCATTAATTATCATCCACGTCCCCTGGATGGGACGAACCAAACCACCCAGGCCCTCCATGTGACTCCTGGTCTTTTATTCTCACCATCCTCAAGAAACCAGTCAGTCCCCAAATCCCCCACCTTCTCCGCTTTCCAAGCTGCCCTGGCGCCATGACGTGCGATGACGCGACGACGTCGCGGCCACTCACCCCACGGACTGCTGCGCGCTGCTTGGGCGTGGCTCCAGATGCGGAGGAGGCCGATGTGGACGGGGGTACACCCAATGTAGAACCTTGATGATATTTCGACCACCCCCTTTAAGCCTGAAGAGGTCTTTTACAATCCCAAATGGGATGATCTTTCAACCAGCCCCTTTAAGCCTGGGTGTTAGCTAAATTATGCATCGATATGTAAAACAGCGCTGTCTCTGAAATGTGGGAGGCTGTGCAGATCTTTGTCGATCAATGCTGTGTGGGCGCGAACACTTGCATAATGCAGGATATATTAGCTTTACTTAAGTATCTACATTGCAGTCAAGGAAAACGTTTTCACCAGCAAAAAACACGTTGGACATCGTTAGACTATTTCCAGCACGACATCGTGCCACTTTTGCATGAGAAAACACGGCCTTTCTGGAGGATGTCTAAAGGCTCGACCGGACACAGCTAGACACTTGCAGAAGGCGCACATGACCATCGTAATTATATGCAATTACAGCATTGTGCCGCCATGTGCAGACCTAAAGAACAGGAGGACAGCTGGAGTATTTATAGTCACAATTTCCATTCAGTCTGGGTGTTGGTACCTTTTCTTTTTTCCGTGGCCGTACTGCAACCAATTGCTGCTTTGGACCATGATTTGCTGTAACCCATTCTTTTTGCACGGCCGTTTCATTACGATGACCATGCACATCCGAAGATCAGCTTTCAGGTGGTGGTTTTCCAGGTTTCAGGTCGCAAATCAGTTTTCTTTGACCAAGCAATGGCAGGTTTTGGTGAAGCAAACAGGTGGTGCCGAACTCCACTTCTCCACTTCCGTGAGGACTTCAGGGAGTGTACACGGTGTACTATGGTCTACTAGTAGACCGATGCATCTTCATAAGCACAGGGCCAGGGAAGCATGGCATTATATGGCATCCATTGGGCCATCCTGGCCCAGTTCCAGTCCCATGATTTCAGGGAGGTCTCATTTTATTGCTTTCCTCAGAACGTGGTATTCGACCCCCAGAAAGGCACCCACCCACCTGCGGAGGTGGGCCGAACGGAGCCCTATATAGGGTTTATGGCTTTCCTGCTTTCCTCATCCACCGCAGTCAAGTCGGATCCTCCGAGTCTCCCCAAGGCCGAGCTACGGCGCGCCTATCGCGCGGCGGCGAGGTCGGGACGGGACCGGGGTGGGGTAGGATGGATGGAAGGATCGGGGTTTGGTGTTGAGAGGACCGGGTGTGTGAATTGATGGGAATCGGCGTGCCTTCCCGCCCCCCCCGATTTTATCCTTATGACATGACCATGCATTTGGTGGCTGTATGTTGCTTTCTCTTCCAAAAAGCCTCACATTTGGGACATCTGGACAGGGGTAGTATACTTGTAGTATTGAAAGGTCTTCTGAATACTACATCCAGCTACATCCAACTACATCCTGGATCCGTATTTGTTGGAAGGTCACATGGCACAAAACCTCACCCCAAACTATAGCTCCGAGGACCGGGGAAGGTCTTGTCTCTTAGAGAGATCCAGAACTCGGGCGGCCCCCACCATGGGCGAGTCACCTTCATTTCGGTGATTCGGTGCTTGGGGTAGGTGTTGCCAGGGGGAGGTGCAGCTACCGAGGTGGGACAGGCGCCCGGATGGGGCGGGCTAAGCACCGGAGACGTGGAATCCCCAACGGGTCGGACGATCGGCGCCCTTCGGACGAGAGTGACCGTCTTCGGACGTCCACGCCGGGTCGAGGAGTGAGACGGAATGGCGAGGGAAAGAGACGGTCTTAGTGTTTGGTGGTTGGTTTGATGCACATATTCACTCGTCGAGTCTTATATATAGGTCTATCACCTGTAAAGCCGTCGAGTTGAACAAGCAGATATCGATGGTTGTCGGCCTGCAAGTGCCTGCCCCATCAAGTTCAGTGCCCAGAACCACCTGTGTGTGGTCGGGTCCAAAAACCACCGGTCTTGGAAGGCCCTGTGTACTCGTACCTCACCAAATAGCTTAAGGGCTGGGTGTTTGAGTCGCTAAGCGATATGATCATTCTGATGACATATTCAATCATATTCATCATATTTATGAAGAAATTATGAGTTCCTTGCACTTCCTGTCAGTTCTCCCATCATGTTTTGAGTCCACGGGAGTTCCTGGGATGTCTCCATGTTGGATGAGTCTTACACTCGTCATGTGGAGTTTCTTAAGGCCAAGGCGGCCTTGATCAACGCAGCCGAGGCGTTGCCACCCAGACAAGCAGAGAGCTGAGGGCCAAAGTGAGAGCTACGTCGAGGGCGGCTCCGTGAGGGCTGCGAGCGAGGAGTTCTTGAGGCTTCAAGAGGTGGGCCGGCTGAGCCAAGAAGAGAGAGTGTCCAGTGGACGTATGTCTTAGATCTGAGCCGTTGGTAAAAGATGATCACGAGACAGGCCGCCTGGCCTGAAATCTAAACATCATCCATTTGGGCCCTGGGAATGGGATAGACGCAAGGAAGATGTGAGGAGAGAAGACAAAGAGTTATCAACGCCCAAGGAAGCGTCGCTGAAACACACAGCCACGTCGAAAACTTGCAAGTTTGATCACTGTGAGCCTTTGAAAGCACGGGTCTGAGTCAAGAGTCAATGTTTTAATATAAATTGTTTTGAAAGCACGGGTATTGTAGTTAAACATATAGTATTTTTATAATATCTATTATATATTTAGTGTTGTAGATAGTTGAAGGAGACTCCTTCTTCAAATCGTCTTAACCCCGACCCAGGCGTTGGAGCTTCTTCTGCATCCACCCAGCTCGGCACCCTCGACGGCGACAACCTGCGAGAGTGAGAGGTGGGGCAGGGCTGAGTGGGGCAGGGCTGAGTGGTGTTTCAGTGTCTCAGGCAGCTGCAGCTGATTGGATTTGATGTTCCGTCTCGTTTCCGGGAAGACGGAAGACGACTTGACTCCTCTCCCAATCGGCGAATCAATCTAAGCACAGTGGTTTATAGGATTGGCCAGTATAAAACAGTCTTGGGGATTTGTGTTCATAAGAGTTCTGAGGGGGTGTACTTATATATGTATACTTGGATGGCACGTGCTGAATGCTCAAAGTTGGAAGTGACTATAGAAACTCTCCTCATGGACTGTTGGCTTTTGTTCATCCGAACATGCAGAGAGCCTCTGCAGACATCCCGGCGTGGCACTAAGTGAAGCTGCGAAGGGCAGAATCTACAGGGTTTCAACTGCTTCGCTTTCCAGGTCAACCATGGTCTTCCCATGAGGCCCGCGAAGCCCTCCTCCAATCAGCCACGAGACGAAACGAAACAGAGAGAAGACAGCTATGACTAGACCTGAGAAAGGCAGGTTGTTGCAGGCCGCAACTTAAGCTGCTTTTACCGGCTGCAGTGGAAGACCTTGGAGCAAACATCTTCAAGGGTCAACATCTACTAGGCTCTGCTTTTGGCTTTTCTCTTGATGAATCAGCTCATATGAAGAGGGTTTTTCAATCCATAGCCCATATGAAGGGGTTCTCCACTCCCGGCTCCAACTACTAGCGTACCGTACCTCGCTTTCGTTCGGTGGATGTGGGCGCTTCGGGTGGCACCGCGTCCGACCGGTGGTGACCGTTGCACCTCCGTCCAGGCTCGACAAGCACTTCTTCGGCACCCAGTTCGGCTCGGATTCCTTTGATCCTCGCGCTTGGCTGGGCGAGGCGTGGAGACCTTGAGGGTATGAAGACAACAGCAAATTGCATGGTGAACAGCATCTCAACAACAAGCCAAGGCATTGCCATCAGTCTCATTGCGTATTAAGATTCCAAGTTGATTCCCCTATTTGTAGAATGAAGTACTTTTGCAACTCTGAAGCCAATCAAAGTCACACAGTTCCTGCCCCCATCATCACATCATTCCCTCAACCAAGTGTGGGAGCAAAAGGCACATGTGCATTCCGCGCTGCGAGTACATATGGAGCAGGTTGACATTCTGGTAGGGGAAGAAATACCAACGTTGAAACAGCGGTCAAAGTTGCAGGAGCAACGGCGAAGCACTGCATCATCCTGCATGGACAATCCAGCTTTCTCAGACCTTTTTCCCACCAGGCGGCCCTCACGGAATCGCCTGAGCGTTTACTTTGCGTCTGGCGTTGCAAGAGCTGCCCGGAGCCGAGCTCCGTGTGCTGCCGCCTGAAGCTCAGGCAACCCGGTTCGTGTCGCGACCAAAAATCAAAGCGTATCCACGCGCGGCACGGTCAAAAGGGTTGGTGTCTTGGGATTTGGCTTCTTTGCTTCATATGGTCTAGGGTGAGTGCGGTGAGTGTGTGTTCTTTTTTTCATTTGGTTTCCCGATGGTTCCTGACCTGAATGCCATGGCATGGAGAGGATGTTATCTTTTTTGTTCTGGCTCCTTTATGAGCGTAATGAGCAACGACTTGGGGGGGTTTGCGATAAGGCGTTCCGGTCATGGTTGCTGCGTTTCGGGTGGAGTCGTTCGGGAGTTGTGGGGAGGTTGTGGTTTTGGAAGATAGACTTATATAGTGGCTGGATCTGAAAAGAGTAGCTAGTTTTTGGATTTGAAGCATGTTGCAGCTTGAGGTAGTATACAGTTTAGAGGCCACAGGCGGAGGAATTGCGCGATGGGTTCAATAAAAAGCACATGTCAAGGTACTGTATTGTATTTGGTTTGCCTTAAAAGCTGCCACCAGTGTAGTACTCTCTGTAGCACCATGTTCCTCTACTCTTTCTTCACTCCGAGCAAGTTGGGGAGGTCTGTGAAGGAGTAGAGTACCGCCCCATGCTTTTCTGGGATCACCAAGGGTCAGTCCTTGGATGATGGGCGAAGGAATTTGGAGGGTTTTGGGAAACAGGTCCTTATTGAACCATCAGCAGCATCATCAAAGTCATCATCCATTGAATTGATAAATGGTTAAATTTGTTATACGAATACAAAAACCAAAGGTCCCATGCTCCCAAGTTTTGCTAGCCTTTTTTCACTCTGACATCTCCGGTTCCATTCATGAATCCGCAGTGTGGGGGAACATCCACCGACCCAGCCTGTCCAGTAGGAAGAGTGGAGTCCCTGGGTCCCTCACCTCGCTCACCGACCCACCGATCCATCGACTCACCGATCCCTGCCATGAAGGAAGCATCTTTGCTTCTGCGGCCACAAGGTGGAGGCCGTGGGCGGACCTGGGGGATGTGGGCCATGGAAATCCGGGAGAGCCAGGAGATCTGGGCTGGGTAGACTAGAGTGATTTAATGTAATTTATTGTTCTTCTTTGCTCTTTAAGACCTTTAGACTCTTTTATACCTGGACCCTCCAATGGGTGTCCAATGGATATCCCGGATAGCAGTGCAGGGTAGTCCCAGGGCACCCAGACAGGCTGCTCCTGGTGGCCTTTCTTTTCGTTTTGTCTTCCTTTTCTTCCACAACGTCATGAACGGTCGTGGACCGCTCAACGCGGATGGTCCGCCCGAGATCGAACGGGACCGGATCCGACCCGTTGGCCGGTCCGAGATTTGGACCCAACCCGTTCGTGTTCGGGTGAAATGGAGCCAGTGGCAGCCAGAGCACCAACATGTAGCAGTTGGTTCGGGTGAGGACCAGAACCTTTGCATGCGGACGGCCCTCCTCGGATGGCCTATACCGATAACACGAGGGGGTGAGCTCCACTTCCTTGTTGCAGGAATGGTATAGGAGGAAAGTAGGATGAAGTACGTCATTCGGACCATCTTGAGTTGCAGACACCCAATGAACTCCACATGACTCTCGGTAGACTTCCCGCGGCGACTCGTCTCGAAACCAATATCCTTTCAACATTCTAAGTACACTCACTCCCAATTTACATGATTTACGAAACATGTCGCGATAGGTATCTTTGTTTTGCTATGTTTGGCCATTCGGGTGGATTTTCCGGGACATGGACCTGTCATTTGTGGTGTCTTTTTCTTGGAACAACGCCCCTGCGATTTGGTCGTCCATGGTCGGTGGCGAGGTCGGTGGCCGAGGTCAGAAGCCGACCGACTCAGCGGATCCGACTCAGCGGAGTCCAGCAGCCCCCTTCCGGTGGATCCGTGGATCCATCGGGCGGAGGACGAGCTAAAGTCGGAGGTATATAGCTGTGCCTAGCTGTGTATATACGTACTATGTGCAGAGGAGAGACTTCATTTTAAAATCTGGTTAGGTCATACATACCAGGAGCATCCTGTCTGGGAGTCCTGGCTGGACTACCCTACACTATCCGGGATCTTCAGCCGGGGCCCAGACAGGATGGTCTAATATTTGGGGTGTGGAATTTAATAGAGGGACCCATTTGAGCTACACCCCTTTGAGGGAAGCCGCACTCACACCAATCCCAGACGCTCCATGGGACTGGATTATTTACAGAACGGGAATCAGGACGTGTAGTGCACGGGGTCGTGTTTTGGGAATCAGACTTCAGACTCTACAAGTCAATTTGACCTCATTTTATTGGAGCCATGCAAACCCAATACTTAAGGAGGTAAAAGACCAGGTTTTACAGGACTAGACTTTTAGGGTCAGAAGATGGACGCTGTGGCCACCGTTGATGATGGTCGCCACCAGGCGCACCTCCAAAAAGATCGCCCTGGGTGCATCCATCCGGCCTGCCGCTGTCAACGACTGGAGTCCTGGTGGTTGGATTCGGATGGTTGAATTCAGTGAATCGGACGTCACGGCGAAGCCGGGGCGGGAAACGGGTGGTTGGAAACGGCGAAGTCGAGTGTTGTTTGTAATTTCGTTTTAACTTGCGAACAGGTTCTGCTCCAGATTTCTGTCACATGTCAAACCTGCGTCTCTCACGTGAGGATAAGGGAGTGTGTCTCAGAGTGATCCGGAATTGACGAATTGACACGGCAAGCAGCTGAACGGAACCCCGGATGGTTGATGAACATGATCTTACAGGGATCTATATGTTACTTCCACGCCGTAACATGGACCCTTCTTCCTGCACGTCCATGCTGCTGCACCGGGTATTTGCCCTGCCAGGTGCCGAAGAAGTGTGAAGACCCAAGTAAATATCCCTCAACAGGTGTGAAGACCCGTAAGACCACGTCCCTGAACAGGACCTGAACCTGTAAATCCTTTGCCTGGCATCGCCTGGCTTCTTTTCGCAAGCTAAGGAGTTCTATGTGCAACAACTGGGATGGGAAGCCCGCTGCTGCCTGGCTCATGTCCAGATGGAGTTGATCTTGATAGTGAAGGACCGTCCGTTCGGAACCACTGGTCGCTGGTCCGTTGCCTACGACATTGGTGTAGCTGGATCCAGGTGAGAAAGATCTCAGGAAGATTGAAGGCGGAACGTTAGGTAGGGGCCTTTTCCTTTGTGTGGACAAAACCAGACATGCAGGCATGCACAACCAAGCGCCAGCTGAGGCAGTTGCAAGCACCACATTCGGGATCACCAACAACTGAATGGCCAACCATTTCCTTGCAGCAAGCGATTGCCTGGCAAAGACAAGAAGCCTTGCCCTTGCAAAGGCGCCATCGGTGTCAGGTGTCGGTGTCAGGTTGATGCGTATCAACCTCAAAGCTCTTATCACTCTTCTCTCAGTCTTCCCAAGTGGTGGAGAACATTTTATCGGCTTTTACCCCAAACATGCCTAGTGCCTGCCATTGCTTCGCCAAGAGCAATGGTGCGACTGCTGGATATATATATATATAGTTTAAATATTTAATTATATTTCAATTATCTTCGGAACACCAACACACTCGTGGGGGCACGGGTAGCAGCGGTAGCAGTGTCCCTCGCTGGCCGGGAGGTTTCAACATCTCCTGGGTTTGCACCTGTGACTGGGTCGCGAAGCAGTGTGGCTGGAAGTGATCACGAGAATTCGTGAGGGAAAGGACTCAAACCCGGGGCATGGAAGAAAGAACCGAAACAGAAGACTTGGGCGGCCGAGGTTTCCTGTTATCAAAAGACAAGTTCAGCTCGAAATGCTGGGCCATGACGGACCATGGACTACGACGGACATGGAGTTTTCGGATGTGTTTCAGAGGCCACAAAGTACCATTCCAACAGACAGCGACCCACCCTTGATGAAGCCACCGTCTTGGCCTATCTACGGCCTATCTCCGCGCTTTGCACGCTTGGCTCTCCGTCTCCACGCCAGAGCGGCCCAACCGCCCGTCGCGGGGGGGACGAAAAGGTGGACATCCCGCCAGCGAGCACGAAAGCACCTGGCAACTGGTCACCTCCAAGGCGCGGGCACGTCCGGTCGACGCGGTGTCACGGTCCGGTCGGTCCAACCCCCGGTGACGCCCACCGAACTCGTTTTGGTTCGAGTCGGGGGGGGTGGGAGGTCGAGCCAGGGAGGTCGAGCCATCCACCGGTCCGGAGCCCATCCGGTTACGGTCAAATTGGTCGAGCCAGTGGACGGACTCCGCGAAGGGTGTCAGAGGAGAACGACCAGGTTTTCAGAAGAGTCGTCCGGAGAGGAAGGCTTTTTGGAGATTCATTTCTTGGAACTTCTGAAGGAGATGTTTAACTGCTGTTTATTAGTTTTGCTTGTAGACTCTTGAGGACCATACACTCCCCAGGCCTGAAGAGGAATTGGGTGACAAGGGTATGTGTGGTCGCGTACGTTTGTCCGCAAGTGAGTGCATTCAAATTGGCGGGGTTTATTGATCAAGAGTCTACATATTTACACCTCTTTTCTAGCAAACCACCTGTGACCAGCGGAGTCGGTTAGAAAAAACAGATGAGGTAGGTGATCGGGACATGGTTTGGTCGTGGGATCTGGACAGGCGGAGGAAGGTCTTCTGAGATTTTTCTCCAATCGTCTTCTATAGAATTGGGAACTGACAGACACTCCATGTCCGTGGCATTTATACATACATTGGAGTGGTGGAAAAGGGATCAATGTATGTAAATGCCTGTCCGGGATATAGACCTCCCCACAGCCAGCCAGCCACCCATCCACACGGAAAATCCTTGGTCCTAAGACCCAATGGAGTACACACCAGCCCATCCGAGCTGCCGCGTTGCCGAAATGGGATACCGTTGCGATGTTGCCTCAATCTCTGCAGTCTCCTTGGAGTTGGTCACAACTCAAAAAAGAGGGGCAGGGACCCATCATACAGGTTAGAATTCCTTCGCGTCCATGCCTTCAGCAGCCCAAACAGACGCCGTTTCTTTTTGGGTTTCTGCAAAACAATCCGCCTGGTCCAACCCAAGATCCGCCGTCTAGATGAGGCCCTATGGCGCCATGTGTTATTTTTTCGTGGCGATGCCCGTCGACGGTGGGTGTGGCCGATCTCGCCCGTAAGGCCCAAACAAAAGCCTCGAAGTCTCTAAGAGGGATGGATTTCCAAGCGCCAATCTGTTCCAACTAACCCTTGCTTGAGATAGATCAGGAGTGGAATGGCTGTGGCAGTGGAATGGCGTTGATTCTAGTATTCTAGTGACAGCCCATCTGCCGATATCGCAAGGATGCTATATATCAAGAAGTTTTCGGGGAACCTTAGTTTCGAAGATGGTGTTTCCTTTTCCGACATGGTGATGGGAGCGACGGATAGCTTCCAGGACCTCGTGAGCGACGGTTCGGAGCAGGGAGCGTTCGCCGGGAGGCCACCCCAAGCCCGACCAGCTCGTTTTGTCTCTCATTTGGTGGGGACATGTCGGGAAGATGATCAAGTCGATTGGGGGCTCCCCATGCTAGACCCACCCTTTTCTTGGGATAACCAATGGGTGGACTGAACCGAACCGTTTCAATGACCAGGCCGCCTTCGCACGTGAATGGGTGGCACAGGGCCTACGGCCCGAATGCGTGGCAGAAGCGGAGGCCGATCCAGGGGACGAGTTGCGGAACATCCACTCACTGGAGAGGTCGACCTGTTGGAACTGATGGTTTGGAACTGTTGGAAGTTGTCTTGCGTGCTGGACAGCACCAGCCAAGTGGACAAACAACACAGATGTAAGTTAACAGGCTTGAGAAGCTTGAAAAAGCTCGTGAAGAGCAGGTGGTTCCCGGCCCTGGCGTCTGCGCAGGAGAAGCGGGCGCGCTGGCAGCAGCAGGCGGCGGACCGCGCGGCCCGCAGTGGCGGTGAGGTAGCGCGGGAGCAGGTGAAAGCCCAGGCTCAACGCATGCAGGCGCGAGCGAAGTGGTCACTCGGGTCGCTCGGAGTGGTTCCTCGGGTCTAAGTTGCTGAAAAGGTCGCACGGCCCCCCGAACCGTGACGGTCCGAAAGCTGGAGCATGCTAAGGCTGGCTAAGCAGGTGACCCCTGAGTTCCGGAAGATGCCAGAGTCATGTTCAGTTTTGCACCTCACATTCCAGCATATCGTATGTTTTGCTGGAAGGTTCAGTTTTTCAAGTACTTCTCCTTCGAGAGCTGGATGGCAGTCTCGTCAGCCATATGTCAGCCATATTGTCGTCGACCAGGTTTTTGGAAGATGACCCAGGGCACAGAACACTGTGTCATGTTTGTTTGTGATTCGTTCAATTGGTCGTCGCATTTTGCCTATAATGAGTTTCCCTTTGTCCACAACCTAGAGTGGTTGGATCTTAGATCCTGAAATCATGTTCCCGGAAGCTTCAAGCATGGACGCTTAAGAAAAAACAGCAGCAACAACAACACATCGATTTCTTTGGAGCCCCAATACATCGATCCAAATATCCTCAGAAAGTCCACCTCTAGAGCCGGGCGCCCAGATCTCCATGTGCGCCGAAGCCAAGATGTTGGAGGCAGGGTGAGTACGTCTCGTATGTCTTCGAGTGGGAAGCCCAGTGGATCCAAGGCAGCAACCCATCCTGGAGTCTTCAATCCCAAGCTCCTGAAAACCTGGGCCATTGGAGACCACTGAGCCGGCCCTGCCTATCAATGATCCAATCCTTCCAATCTTTCGGGTCCATGACGTAACTACCTGGGCACCTGGAACTGCAGAGCCGCACGTTGGACCCTCCGAGAGCTAATTTCTGATTTGAGATGATTTAAGTATACTTTGCCATGCCTCCTAAAGCTGGTGGTAGTGAGACCAAACCGGACGATTTCAAGTTCGTGGAACTTCCGGACGATTTCAAGTCGAGGAAACGATGGAAGCTTTGCCCTTTTCGGGCATGGACGCAGGCCAGGGCGGCCATTGAGACCTCCCTGGCAGACATTGCTGACACAGCATTTACAGCATCACGCCTAGAGGTCATTGTGACCGAATCTGTCAATGTTCGGGCCTTGTTCTCCCAGAGTGGAGTTCGCATCGAGCAACGATTGAGATCTGGAATGAAAGTGGCCACAAGGGGCGCCGCCCGCAGAGAGATCGTGTATAGGCCTGTGAAGGCCAGCAGCTTGGTGAGTACTTTCACCATTCGACCCCCAAGGAGTGCTGAACGCTGACATACTCCAGCGGTCATTTGTTGCCTACGGTCTCCTACTCCCAACGGAGCCCGGGGGGGGCACTACAGCCAGCAAGTTGCGTCGCTCAGGCGCAAGCCTGGGCGCGAAGGACCAACGCCATCGGGCTCAACCAACCCCGGGAGGTTTGTGGAGGTTACGCCTGGTGCGTCATTCTCCACAACGCTATGGCGATGCTTGCTGGACATGCGGAAAGCGCGCGCTCCACTGCGCGTGACATTGAAGCGCTTTCACGCCCCAATGCCGACCTATGTCGGTTTGCTGGAGGGGGTTTTGGGTGACATTGAAGTGAACGCAGCGGCTTTGGCCGCCGGAAGGGTCATCGGCTCTGTTCTAGAGAGAATCGGACCTACCTTGGCTGTTCTTCAGAGGAATTCAGCAATACAAGTGATTTGGAGAGATGAGAATGCAGTCCAAGATCGCAAGATGTTCCAGCCATCAGGACAGAGACGGCCCCCCGCAGCTGCAGAGTTCTTGAGGGGAACTGCTCCTGTTGGAGGTGCCACGGCGGCCGCTCCGGATCACTATGAGGCTAAGCATGAAACATGTCAATGAGTTCTGCAACAAGCTTCAGTGACCGGCGACGTGTGTTTTAATCATGCGCAGGACGTCCGTGTTACTCTTCAGGATAGTACCCACTCTCTGGAAACCCAGGCTACAATAGAGGAAGGGTCCGTGTTTCTAGCGTGACACCACCCGCAAGAGAGAGACCAAACAACCATGGTGTCACTCACAATTTTCCACATTGCAAAATACCACCCTCCAAATCAAAGGCCTCGTTTTACTGGGCTCTATTTTCTGCAAAACTGATAGCAAAATTCGACCTCTAAAAACTTTTCGTGGAAATGGTGGAAAGCCCGACTTTACTCCGTAAAGGACGTATGGGTACCATGTCTCCGGTATGCATGCACATATGTATGTATAAGGACCATCGAACCCCAAAAAATGTTCCATGGAAATGACCTTAATGCCCAAAGAAATTTGTGTGGAAGTGGTGACCTTAATGCCCAAAGAATCTTCCGTGGAAATGGTGACCTGAAAGTTTTTGAAGGTCAAAGAGTCAAAGAAAATGCGACCTCGTAAAACTGGGTCGTTTACAGCAGGACCTCGTAAAACTGGTCCTTTTGAGGTGGAGGGCCAGGATATACCAGGTCAACCTGTCCTTTGATATGTTTTGATCGCCTTAAATAGAGTTTTATTCGAGTGAGCAGGAGTCCCATCGGACAGCGGTGCGTTGTTCGGTCACTCCTTGCTGCTTTGGATGTGTTGGGAAGCTTCACGCGGAAAGAACCATTCCTTTTTTGACAGGACCATTCCCAGGAAAGAACGAGATCTCCCCTATGGATCCACTGCTACCGTACCTCAGGTTCGGTATGACTGGGCCCGACCCAGGCGCCTAGATAAATAGTCTCCGATCACCTTCTGAGGTTCGGTATGTGGATCCATAGGGGATGGCTTCCGCTTCTTGTGGCAGAAATCCCTTTGGATTGAAGAGAAGAATTCTTACATCCTGCTGTTTCGACCAATGGCTGGGACTTGGTGTGAAAAGAAATATGGGCCCTCGGCTTGTTCATTCCAATCACCGACCTTCATCTAGAAGGACCCCCCAAAGACATTCTTTCAACCTTGCTTTACATCGCTCAAAATGGCTTTGGCTCAAGACACATGATCCTAAATGCCACCAGGTTTTAGATTGTATGGCTCAAATCCTTTTTCTACTGAAGAATTCAAAAGAAACAGAAGTTCTACAATCCCAACATGGGTGGGTTTTATATATGCAACAGTCAAGAGTCTAACTAAGCAGCTTTGGAAGGAACCCGGCTGCGGCCTGGCGCCGAAGCGCCTTCCATTTCGGTCTCCCTTCCGCACCCTTCGCGAGGCGGTGGAGCAAACTTTGGATGGTCGACGCTTGCCACGCTCAGCTTCGACCGCCGTGACGAAGCCAGGTGGGGACATCGGGGGGACGTCGATTCGATGGACCGAACACGGATTTTTGTCCGGGATAGGGTGGGGATCGATGACAGGGTTTAGGGGTTCTAGGGATGTTTCGGGTCTATGGGTTGAAAAAAAAGGGTGTCCTCCCAGGTATCTGGTTTTGCTTCGGTGGTTTGTCCCGAATTGAGTAAATCCTCAAACCGCGGGGGACTAAGCTATTCTTTCCCCGGCTTCCTAGGAGCAAATCCCAGACACACCCTGTCTGGGACTGGCATATTTACCTGTATTCACCTCAGGAAAAAACCACCTCAGAAGGTACGACTGGACCCTCCAAACCTAAGGTACTTGGATCCCTAGGGTTTTCCAAGAGAGGTTAAGTGACCTGAACTAGGACTCTACTGGGGTACCTATGGGATAGTCTATAGGGTCCTTCAACCTCTGTTGGTTTTAGGGGGTAATGATCTTGGTGGTGCTCGTTGATCAATTCTTCTTCTGTGCAGGAGGTGTTCCACGAATTCTTTGGTCCGGCAGACGAAGTTAAACAGTCCACATCACTTCCTCACCAATCGAAGCCCACCGTGGAAGAACATGCATTTTTGTCCTGCCCATGGTGTATTTGTTCACCAAAGACCTCGGCATCAAAATCAAGAACTTGGAGACATCGGGACGTCTTTTTCACCGTCGCAGCATCTAGCGACCATGCATCGGCGAAACGGAACGACTGGTGAGGACCGGGCTGCGCAGACGGTAGACGTCTTGGATCGTCTTGGTGCCGCGCTCCGCGCGACCGCGCAGCGGAAGCCAGCATCATCCCCCAGAATGGTCCGACTGGAATCGCAACTCCTAGGACCCTCCTCGACTTGTAGGACCCCCAGTCACGACTCATGGGACTGCCATGCCTACATTGACCCACGACTTCGACCACCCCTGGCCGTTTCGTCCGTCCTGGCAGTCCCAGACAGGTCGTGTTTGGGTACCTGGACCAATCAGCTCCGGAGTTCGCCGCTGTCCGCCGGTCCGTGACCGGAACCCATGACGGCACGAGAGACTCGGGGAGACTGGCACCGGACTGGGGCCTTCTTGAAGGAGGTGGATGAGCTGCATGTGGAGGTTGTTCTGGCAAGGGGGATTCTTACAATATAAACTATATGGTTGCTTCAACCACCAAGTCCCTTTTCAGTTCTTGTCGGTGGAGTTCCACCGTGTCATCTGGGTCCAACCTCTGTTTCAGTGATCCTGTCGCGCTCCTTTCATTCCTTGCAGGTGAGTCTAATCTGAGGATGCCAAAGAGCATCCTCTAGCGCCCCGAGCTCCGACCGCGTCTCGCTTTCGGAGCTCGAAAGATGCGCAGATCTGTCGGTCACAGCGCCCACCCAGTTCAGACGAGTAGTTCCCAGATGTTTGCCATGGAAGGCCAAGTATCCATGTTTCACGGGTCTAGACCGAAGGATACTGACAGATTGACTGGACGGTAGACTTAGACTGAAGGATACTGAAGGATACGAGTTTAGACTATAGACCAGGTCTAGAGAACCATGAGAACCATTGAGAACCTTTCTTCTGAGTCTCAGAGGCATTGGAGATCGATCATCGGAGTGGATCTCTGAGGCTTCGCCCCAGTCAACTGAGTCGACATCCCCAGCCTAGTGGCTTTGATCTTCCAATCAATCCATTTCTACATGACACACATATATCCCTAGGGCTCCTGGCCCATCTCCTCAAGTTCGGTGGTTAGACCCCCCAAACCCACCCCAACCACCTTCTCAGAGCTAGTTGGAGCCCTAGGGTATATACACATAACGCTATACAACCATATCTAAACAATTCTCTGCCTGACACTGGGAAGAAAATGGAAGAGGGTTGACTTTTCAACTGAGAATCCATGTTCAATCCATGTTCAATTTACTTCACTTCAGGAAGAACAGGTCAACAGGTCAGCCAACATAAATTATCCCGGCAAGAGACTCCAAACAGTCTCGGGTAGAAGAAGACAAGGATGCATATGCCAACTTTCCGCACTGTTTGGGGAAAAATCATCTTCAAGGAACAACCATCCTCAAACTTTGGTCCAGTGCTCATTCAACAAAAGAACCTTCCTTTCATGCTCACTACCTCCTTTTCGGATGGCCGACTGGAGTTCGTTCGTACTTCCTTTGCATGTCGATCGTTCTTTCACTGGGGGCCGACAGCAGGGCAGCTGTCCAGCTCGCTGCTCGGATGGTCCTGGTGTGGCGGTATCTCAGGGTAGAAGAGGCACTCACTGCCAGAGGTTGAAGGACCCGAACTGGACTATCCCAGTTGGGTACCCCAGGCCAGAGTCCTAGTTCAGGTCACTGGCCACCTCACTGGCCACTCACTGCCGTCTCCAAGGTCGAGAGCTGCAGCGGAGCTTCGGAGCGGAGTCGAAGGCGCCAGCGGACCGGTCGTAGCAGACGGTGTCTGTAGCAGACGGGAAAGCCAAGAGCAAGGCATCCAGTTCCTGGAAAAGAATAAGAATGAAAACGTAAAGCGGGTGGTGAACTCCACTTTGCATATTTTTTTGTTCAGGGAGTTACTGTATATGAACTCCACTTGCAATGTTCTTTTCAGGGAGTGTATGAATTATATGGTTGTTTGGTTTTTCACCCTTTGTTCCTGGACAGCAAATCCAATCCACATGGATGGAAAAGACCTTTGCAGATCCTTGCAGCAGCATCGTCAAGACTCACACCCAACCATTGAGATATTTGGCCCGATGCCACTGCTCACCCTATCTGGGTGTCTTTGGGATCGTCCCAACGAACGCATCAACTGGCGACTGAGGGAACCGATGGGAATCAGCCCCAAAGCCGAACTCGTGCGCGTTGGAACAGGCGCGCGCGCGGCCATGTCAGGACTCAGAGGAGGACGGAACCTTCATCTTCGGCGGAGGCCATTTGCTTGTCCCCGTGCAGTTTTCTGCTTGCAGTAGTGGGTTGAGCAGTTGAGCAGTAGGAATCCTTTCGTGGGATGGTGTTCATACTGATTTCAGGAAAACTTGGAGGATCGCAGTATATTTTTAGTGGCCTATTGTCAATATGAGGTCTGAATTCCCACGGTGTCAGCAACAGATCCAGCAGACTGAAAAAACTTGGAAATGGACCGCTGATCTACTTGGACCATTCGAATCCGCACCAAACGTGCGTTCCTGTGTCAGCTCTAGGTTGTCATGTTTATAGAGTCAGCAGCTAAATATAGAAAGGACCAAAGAACCAGGACCGGACCTTCGACCGTCCTTGAGATCTCTCCTAAAAAGGCCGACAAACTCCCAAAGAGGTCACTTTCAAGGTCCTGGAACTGGAACATGTGATTTTTCTCGACGCTTTTTGCCAATTATAGACTATGCAACGCCCAGGACTTCGAGAAGGGCAAAAACAGATGCAATTGTGCAAATGTCGCAAACTCAATCGGGTGAAAAAACATTGAAAAACAACATACTTTGCCTTGTAGTAGATCTTAGTAGAGCTTCCTGGCCAAGTCCACGATTTTGATGACCTCGTCACCTGAACCCCCGGTGCTGCGCTGGAAGTTGGGCTCGTGAGCCATTCGTTTCGGCTCGCCCGGCACGGTCGTCCGGTGGGGCGTGGGTTCAGAAATACCCCTAGGGCCTAGGGCTCCTACTACCTAGCTCCGGCAATCGGTTTGGTGGGCCAGGGGGTGGGTGGTCGACTGGGGGGTCGAATATCACCGAAACTGAGGAGATGGGACGAGATCAGGAGCCCTATAGGGTACAAACAGAAAGACAAACATCTCAACACGAGACTCTGAGGGGTTCCGCGAGGTGGGCGACGAGTTGCTTTGCTCACAGCACCCACATCATGCGGAGAAGGGTGGGCCCCGCGGCAAGCGTTTTCATGCAGAACTCGACCAGATCGCACGTGTTGAAACCACACACGATGAACCGGGTCCCTGGTTCGTTGATGGAATGTGACCGGAGCCCGTGACCGTTCGTAGGTGAAGCAGCTCCAAGTCGCGGGGCCAAGATCGGGGCGACTGACTTCGTGTAGACTGACTATAGGTACATATAGGTACTAGTAAAATCACCCCAATTGAATGGAAGAACCTCTTCAACCACTGGGGGTTTGATGCATGAAGAGTCTATAACAGTACCTCTCCAAGTCGGCCCTCGGACCTCTGTGACGTGATGGCCAGTCGTTGAGTCCACCGTCACGGTGACCCCGGTGGAGAGGTCACACGTTTGATCCCGGCTCCTGGCCGACCGCTCCGGCAATCGGTTTGGTGGGCCAGGGGTGGGTGGTCGACTGGGGGGTCGAATATCACCGAAACTGAGGAGATGGGCCAGGAGCCCTAGGGTATCATACAATCGACAGAAAAAGTGTCAGTCTTCTGGGGATATGATTTCATGCTTGGTCTGAGACCCAGACAACAGAAGGGGGACACAGAGATCCTAAATGTCAATGTCATGGGGACTGTTCACTCAGAGAGGGATTTTGAAGAAAGATGCTGTTCGATTGCTCCCTTTTGTTGGGTAATGTGAAGACTGTTGATGAATCAACCAACACCCCATGTGGTCATCTGGGAGGTTTTATGATGCTCTTCGAATATAACAGTCAACATGATGTCGGTTTGGTTTGTGCAATCATGGAGGTGCACGGTGCACACTTCAGTCAGTGGCGATCAATAGCTAAATATTCCATGGAGTGTTTGGGTCTATATCAACCTAGTGGACTCGCACCTTCCTCTCCACGCAGGAGGTTGAACTCCAACAAAGCCTTTAGCTGATGGAGAGACATTTGGGTCTCTAGTCACCCTAGAAAAAACAAACCTGACGGAAGAACCACAGGCTTTGGGTGGACTTTAAGCGAACAAAGGGTCCTGTAAAGCGGGCTCCAGGTCCAGGAAGGGGCCCATTTGTCTCTGTTAATCCTCTGGGTCGAAAGGATTTGCATGGATCGAGCTGCGTGGAGCAGATCCAAGAGATCTCTCATGGATCTTTGGATCTCTATGGATCCACGGATCCACCGTACCGACCCAAGTTCGGTATGACTAGGCCCGAGACAACCCTGGCGCCTACATCAATTAGGCTGAAAGCCCTCACCGTACTCAGTCTTTTTTGATGCCAGTGGCCAGTGGATCCCATATAGGGCTATAGGATCGATGTTCAATTGTCCGATGATTGCTCGAAAGGTGCACCAGTGCTCCACAGGGTCCGGCTTGGCGCCAGCCGCAGCGCCGGTCGGCTCTGCTGAGGTCCAGAGCTCTTTCGATTACAACAGGCCCGAGTCCGGGTGTGAAAAGACCACCCGAAAAACCGGGCGATCGCAGCGATACCAGCCCCACGATCGCCTCCATTCGCCCACGTGAAACGGGTCGGGGTTCAGATCTCACCAAGGTCTTCTACGCCTGGAGATTCCCTCGGAATGGCAAGTGGAACACCTGTTTGTATATGGATTTCATGGGTCTTCCAAGGGCCATGGCCATCCACTTCCAAGGGCCGTAGGGCTGAAGACGCTGTTCCCAAGGACCGGCTCAGTAGGGCCGAAGCCGTACGGAGCGGTTTCAATGAATTGGTGGCCTGGAGGATATCCTTTCACAGCACCGTAAAGAGGAAAACACCAGGATCCAAACCAATCAGAATCAGATAGACATCAGACATCCATAGACATAGACATCGATGCACATCATAACTCTTGCACACCATAATTGGATTCCACGCTCCCTAACCATCCAATCGGAGATCCACAGCTCCCCCCCAAAAAAAACAGGTGTGGACCTGGGTCAGACTGGACATAGGTAAACCTTCTTATAAGTATAGAGTTTTTGTATGACCCCGTCCAATAAAATGTGGTCGACCTGACCTGTAGGGGCTTTTGCGTTGGACCATAGTGATCTATAGGATTAAGGGCTCATCCGAATTGTGTGCCACATGATCAGACTTGGTCATGACAGGCCTGCGTCCTCTTCGAAGAGATTTGCCAGGTCTCAAGCCCTCTGCCCGGCCCCGAGCTTCCATGTTTTCCCTTGAACAGCCGTGGCCGAAACCTGTAGTGCCGGGTTCGGAGCGTTGCGATAGTTGGATCTTAAACAGTAAACCCTCCCTCTGGTAAACAATTGAGGGAGAGTGTCAGCCTATTCTCCTCGTCCACCTCGCCTTCGTTGTCGTAGTAGGAGTAGCAGTCGTAGT